AGAAAGTTTAAAATAGATGCAGCTGATGGGCTCGTACAGAGCTGCTGTCCCATATGGATGGCCAGGGATCTCCTGAGCTCAAATGCAGCATTCCGGTAATAGTAGAGCAAATGGTTGAAAATATTTTCCTAAAGAAACTCTTTGTCAGTAAATTCAAATTCAGCCATTCACACCGTGAGCTCCTGTTGGGAGCCCCAGGAGAGGAGGAATCATCTAAGCCTTGCTGGTAGCATCTCATGACTGGTCTTATAGGGCCTGCCTCTCCTAGCCCCTTGCCAGCAGCACAGACCTGGTGTGAGCACAGTACTGTTGAGAGAAACACAGTTCGGCACAGGAAGACTTTGGGATCAGAGCCCAGAGAGGTAAAGTCCAAGTTTAGCTATGGTAAGAGGCAGGCAGCAGTGTGGGGTCGTGGGATGAGACCCTATGAGGAACCGTGCAAGATACTGTCCCCCTGGAGGCACTTCTCAGGAAGCAGCAGGCACTTTGTGGGACCTGAGGGACTGGTGTGGAGTGAAGGCAACATAGGCCTGTGCTGCTCAGCAGAGCAGTGATGGAGTTGGCACTGCATCTTGAGCTGCAGCAGACTTAGCATGTATCTTCTCAGGTCGTGGTTGTGATTGAGCTGTAAAACACCCTGGCTCCTGCTGCCTGGTGGCATGTCATCATCATTGTCTCCTACTGGAACTGTTCTGCTTTACAGAACTGATTTGCTCTTCAGGAGGAGCAGAGACTTGTATCCTTCCCTTGGCATCTCAGGGGGATGCAGAGAGAAATTAAGAAAACATTTAGGCTGACATGAAGGAAATCTGTGCCAACATGAAATAAGGAGACTGTTGACAAATTTCCTGAAGATGAAAAAGGAACTTTTCTGCATCATGAAAAGTTAGTTCAGGAAATGTCACTGGAAAACTCTGTTATGTATGCTGTTGGTAACTTCCCTGCAGTGACTAAAAACCCTATGGTAATCCAGTGGGCTGTCTTAACCTTGAAAAGTCTAATGCTTAAAGTGAACATGTTTATACAAAATCCATACCAGGATAATTCACTTCACAGCACTGAAATCTGCCCAGAAGTGGGATTTGTGCATCTGTCACAGATGAGTGTCAGCCTAGGAAGATATCACTTCATTGCTCTCTTTTTTAGGATACAGTTGTTGCTAGTGCTAATATTATGCACTAATCCTGACTTTCCTTCCCTCCCCCTTTTGCCATTTGCTCTCTTTTTTCTTTGTCTTACCCGGAGGCATCTTAGCCTGCCCACCCCACTCCCCTGCTCTGTAACAGGAGCTTCTCAGCTGCTTCGGTGGGTGATAGAAAGGCCATCCTGAATGTCACCTCCTCGGGCAGTTCTTCCGTTGGTGCTTGTTGTGAACATGAGGAGCATGAGTAAATGGTACAACTCTGATAACTCAGCGAAGAGCTGCTCACGTCCACATAAGTTTGCTGCTTTACCTGTGTTTCCACTGCTCTATTGGCTGGGCTGTGCTACTCTTGAGTCTAGCTATCGTTTAGCTGAGAGCCACTAAGAAAGATGTCATCCTTTTAAGGCAGACTGGATAATCATCAGTCATAAAAACCCTTTATGCAGATGAAAGAGAGCATCAGCTTCTCTGTGTGTATGATGACTCTGAGCCATATATAGATTAAAATCTATAGAAATTCAGTCGCTGCAAGGGGAGCCAGGATTAGGAGATAGAAAGGCGTCTAGAATAGTGAATAATTACATCCGGACATCAAATCAGTGCTTACAGGTGGCCACAAAAGGCAGAGTATTAGGAATTTTTGAGATCAACTGAAAACAAAACAGAAATAATTGTGTCAGGCCCACAGACCACCTGCTCTCTGCAGTTTTTGCTTGTGCAATTTGGAAGGACACAGAGAAAGATGACAGAATTGATGGGAGAACTGAAGACACAGCTGTGTGGACAATGATCTTTCACTTTGGGAAAGGAACAACCAGGTGGGAAGATGATATGCTTGCACAGTATTACAAATAGTATGGAAAAAGTGAAATTGGATTTTCACCAAGCATCCAATGTACTTATGCACAAAAATACCACTGGACCTTTGCTCTATCTGCTGATTCTCAAATCTATGAGACTATCTTTACTCGATGCTTTTTTTTCTGTTCCTGCTTTCTGACAGCTGAGCAAGCCTTACAGATCCCCCCTGTTTTCAGCTGAGAGATGGATGCACAGCTGCTGTTTCATATTCGCTCAAATGGCCTGAGGTTACGTTTCATATAGCAGCTGGAAAAGCAAATTATTTGGGAGTAAAATTCTCTAAAGACCTAGAGAAAGGGAAAAAAGGGAGTAAACCAAAACCCTGGTGCTTAAGAAAAGCCTGCTGTAATCAGTAGTGTTGGGAAGGAGGGAATAATAATCACAGTGATCACAGCAAAAGGTTTGCCTATGCCAGAGCTCTGCAAGGCCAGATCACACTGTGAGAAGGCACATGGAGCAGTGTGTAGTGTTAAAATAGCCACTCCCAGAAACTACAGCCTCTGCTTTTCCCCATCTATCCCAGCAGCTGCAAGCCTGGAAACTCAGGCTTTTAAAACTACATTTATCTGTTCAAGCTCAGCCACTTCCACCTCCCTTTGCAGGAGCAAGCCAGTCCCTGTTCTTCTTTGCTAAAACCCCCCTTTCCTCAAGTGCTGTTTATCAGATAACTGGTAGGAACACAAGGGAGAAGATAGCTTGAAACAGCATCAGACTAATTAGGAAGCATTCTAGAGTGCTATAGTACTTCAGGGAGTTTTGGCAAACAAAAGAAAGCAAAACTGGTGCTTGTTCCTAATGGGTTTGCTGTTCAGTCTCTTTCTTTGGTACTAATGACTGGGCAGGATGTGCTTCCTCTGGGAATTTTGAGGGAATATATGCTAATTCCTCTGAAAGTAAGTAACATGCACAGGATGGACAAACATCTCTGAATTTCTCAATGCCAGGTCATAATTGGTTGTTATAAAAGAGAGGAACCTAACTTCAGAAGCACATCCAAGCAAAGCTGCTTGCCACCAAGTCTGTCACCTCTGCGACACAGTGCCTAGAGACAGTTGGTAAAACAGCATACATTGATGTGTATATAAACACTAAACAGAGGTATTATACAGAATCTATGTTACGGAGAATTTACAGCATTTTATCAGGGACCTGAGGGTGAGCAGCTGAAGTGACCTGTATCCAGGCACAGGAGACGCTGCTGTCTGTGTAGGCACCTCAGGCCTGAATGTCCTACAGGCCATCAGCCCACAGGAGGTGTCCTACTCGAGCAGAAGCTGGGCAGCTCTGAGTTCTCTCCAGCCTTCTGGGATCACTAGCAGGGTGTGCAAGGGGATCCCTGTTGAAGGGGATATCTGCTGTATCCCTTGAGCATTATAGATTCCATGTGGGGGACAAGTAGGTCACTTGAGAAGGCCAAAGGCTTCTTCTTAGGCTTCATATAGAGATACAGAACATGCTTGCGTTATTGGCAGTGACAGAGAAAATTCATTGCTGTTTTCAGTAAAGTGTGTGCGTTATCTCGTTTTGCTCCATTCATGTGGCATTCTTCATCAGCTTGAGGTGGTTTTGTGCCTTAGAAGTCTTCACCACATTGGTGGGATATTGTGTGGAGGGTGGGTATCTGCAGAGATTGAAATGATAAGAAATGTCCCAGGTATGAGAGTCTACATGTTCCTTTGATCTTACCCAGTACAGCCATTTACAGAATGACAGAATGGTTTGGGTTGGAAGGGGCCTTTAATGTTCATCTAGTCCAAAACCCCATGCCATTGGCAGGGGCATCATGTAATCTTACTCCCATCAATGTTATGATCAGAAATAACACTCAGTAGTGATGTCAGCCACAGTTCGCTATATCATGCACACATTTTCTGACAAATGGTACCAGGGAGATACTCACCAGCATGCAGTTAGCACTGTGAATGTGTCCAGCCTTTGATAACAAGAGGACCCTCATGTACTCTGCCTGCCATGTTGCTCCTCATATGGCAAAACTTTATGATATGATGTGATGCACTTTGCTGCCCCAGAAAGCTCTACAGTTCTCTGCCTCCATGTCACACTGCTCTTCAAGGACTGAAAACTACTAAAGCCTGCTGCTGCTCTGGAACTGATGTTCTGGGGACACATGCGTTGGCAAGTTGCATGGGATTAACTGCCTTGAGCAATGCATCGAGATCAAAAATTTATGCCTGGGGTCCACTTGAGAAAAGCCATTTTTCAGGACTCACGCCAGGAAAATTTCTGTTTCTCAGAAGCTACAGATACCTTAGCTGCTTAGCTTTGAGCAGATATCTGCTTTGGATAGATAGAGGGAACCTCTACATTAAAGCCACAGAAATTCTGTTGTGAAGGACCATCTCATGATTGTAGTTCATTCTACTCCTTCAGTAGATCTGTTGCTGATGCTGGCCACATTAGTCATGGCTTTGATTAGCCAAGCTATTTGGACACATGCCCCACAGCTTCTCCGGGAGCCTGTGCCATTCTGCATCACCCAATAGTCAAGTATTTTCCTAATGTCTAACTAGATACTTCCAAGCAACAATTTGCTGTGATTGCCCCTTGTTACATTGTTTGCTACACATGAAACAAAAGCTTGACTCGTTGTCTTTGTAGCTGTTCTCATCTATATTAGCCCTTTTTCCCTCAGACTTAACATGCCTTCAAACTCTTTTCATAACAGAAGTATTCTAGACCCTTGCCTATGTTGCTAGCCTTCTTTTGGACCCGGTCCCATTAGTTCACATCCCATTTGAACTGGGGAGCCTAATACTGGGCAAACTGTTTCACATAAGGGCTTGCCAGTGTCAAGCAAAAGGGGTAATATCTTCCTACAATCAGCTAACCACACCTCTGACAGACCATCTTTAAAGTCCATTCCAAACCTAACCATTCTATAATTCTATTCCTTTTCCTAATACAAAACCTCCTGTTTCTTGTATTTCCAGTTCAGGAGCTTGATATCTCTGAATCATCCAAGAGATGGGAGAGGGAGGCTCTTTCTAGCCAACTCCAGCAATCTGTAGCCACATCCAGTTCCCTTCTCTAGCCTTGCTGTGCTGTCCAGCTAAAAAGTGCCTTCTCACTCCTTGTCTGATAGCTAAACACAGGGATCAGGAGAAGAAAGTATACATCTTAAAGGCTGGCAGAAGGGAGGCAGCTGCCTGATCTCTGTCTCAAGAAGGGTCTATTTTCAGCACAACTGAATCCTTTCTCCTCCCTGAGGAATTTGTGCACTGCCGACAATGCGTTGCTGTGCAGGACAGGCTGTATCCAGAGATGGTTTTCAGTCCACCTCTTAACTGTGGTGTGGTTTGCTTCTGGTCCCAGTGAAGTCCAGCCCTGGAGAGATGGAAATAGGATTGACAAAAAATGAGTGACTGGCAGGAAATGTTGTATTCTTCTTTTGCATTGAGGCACTTGCACTTCTTTCAACAGATCCTTTCCTGGACAGATTTCTCCTTAGCTGCACCAGGACATAGGAAATAGGGCAGAGTTTTCCCTCATACAACTTACTGTGACCAATAGAGTTAAACTACAGTGAAATCTGTATCATCTCCTTCAGATTAGACACTGCTTCTTTGTAAGAAGCTTTCTAATAAGCTACTGTGCCATGTCAATAACTGATACCTCGGTGGGACAGATGAGCTCCATAAATTAAAACAAAAGCAGAAGCTCAGTAGCTTAGAATGCTTTCCATGGATGCTTATGCCAGCTGAGCAAACACTTATCTTTTGTGATCTTGATGTCATACATCAAACCACTGAATGCTGGCTTATTCTTCCAAACTTTTTTGCACTTTCTTCTGCCTCCTCTTCCAGCCTCCACAAACTTAGTACAATTATCAGATGTCTTTCCCCTGTAGACATTCACTGGGAGTTCACATAGTACCTGTGTTCACAGCATATGCTATTACAGTTGACATTGCTTTTGCTAATAATCTCCTTCAAAAAGGTATTTTAATAACATCTGAAAACACTGTATGAGAAGTTCTTGTTTCCCATGTTTTATTTAGTTAATGCAAAAGGAGGAAAGGAAGTGGAACTGAAGTTAGAGTTTTCAAGTGAAAGTGGTCAATGCTTTAACATTATATCTTCTTGTTGACTGTCTAGTGGAGTTTTTTAATGCTAGTTCTTCCAGAGGAGTTTCTAGAATAGCCTTGATAGTCAGTTTGAATGGCACTGGACTGTTAAATGCTGAATTCAGTCAGGCCCTTTCACTCCTGCTGGTCTAACCCACGAGGAGTATTTCTGTGTTAATAGTGCAGATGACAGAAAAGTAAGCAGACACATTTTGTGTCATCTGTAAGTGCTGCTTCATGGTGGAGGTTGTATTATTCAACATAAAGTACGTAAGTTTTAGCTGAACTCTGTATGCAAATTGTTCTTGGCATGAGGGCTGCATCTCCATATACAACATTTTGGAGAACTTTGCTGTATTTGAGTAATCCTTCAGACTCTTTTATACCAAGGACCTTTGAGGGATTTCACTCCAAGATACCAAGCAAAGCGCATATGCCTGTAGTCACATTATAGGGTTTATAGCTTCGGGGGTTTATAATGATACTGAGGCACTAATGCAGAGCTATTACATAGGTCAGTACTTATGATGGGCACAGGAATACAAATTAGAGATTCACAGTAACAATAATTTCTTCTTCTCTGAACTGAAGCCAGCATACATATTGCCTTTGCATTTGTCCACAGAAACCTTCAGCCATAGTAAGACGTCCTCCAACATTTGATGAGCTGTTGGTTGGGACAGCATGTCCTGCAGCCCCTCCACACACCCGGCAGTAAGGCAGCATTCCCAGTCTTCCTTACAGGATGTGACTGCAGTTATCTGAGGTTTTTTTTGTGTAAATCCTGTGTCATTTCTCTGTATGCAAGGTAGCTTTCCCTCCTAAAATGACCGGAGCCATAGTATACCTGGACTTTCAGAGCCCAAGGTCTGTAATCTCAGACCAAGAAGAACGGATTGGCAGAAATTATCTTCTCTGGTGACTGGGAGCCTGCTCCTTCTTGTTTCACTGAATAGCTCTATAGCTGCCATTTCTTTGTGTCAATGGTGATTCTTTCTGGTGACAGGAAAGCTGCCAGATTCACACCTTCAGGACAATGATGCTAGTTCTTCTACTGAATGGGATCACAAGCTCTTACCCTTCAACCTTCAGGTTGTCTATTATTTCCATTTGGCTGTTAAGGCCCTATACTGAAAACGGCTTAAAACTGAGTGGGCCAGAACCACTATTAGAACCACATCCTGCTGGCTGGTAGTCCTGCCATTCAGACTCTCCACCAAGGACCAAACAGAGACTAGCTTTAGTGAACTGGATAGTCCAATACTTGAGACAGTGAGAGCCAAGTCCCTGAAGTAAATGAAAAATTATTTGGTCTCTAAGCCAGCATATGCATTTTTACCTCCATGGACATTACATTGAACCTACAGGTATCTCACCCTCTTTGTATGCAAAGCGTGGAGTTTACTGTTGAAATGTAGAAGTGCCTCTGCACTTTGATTGCTTTGCTTTAATGTCAAAAAAGGTCTTTAGCTGGAAGTTCACACATGATTTAGTTCACTCAATGAACAATACTGGTAAACCTGGTGATAAGACTTGAAGTCTTTGTGATTCTGCAACTGTTAAGGCCCATTTAACATGAAGTGTTTTCTGCATTAAGGATGGTGTGCCACAGTGTACTGGCTAGGCAAAACCCAGAAGTCAATACTTCTGGGTTTAGTAGTGCAAAGAAAGGCCAAAGCCCTGCAGCTGGGCAGGAACAACTCCATGCATCAGTATGTGCTGACAGGCTGGAAAGCAACTTTGCAAAAGAGGACCTGGGGGTCCTGGTGAACACCAAGCTGAATATTAGCCAGCAATGAGCCCTTGCTACAAAGAAGGTGAACCTTGTCCTGGGCTGCATTAGGAGGAGGGTTTCCAGCAGGTTGAAGGAGATGATCCTTTAACTTCTGCTTAGCACTGGTTGTCCAGTTCCAGGCTGCCAGGTATAACAGAGATATAGAGCTACTGAGCTAGCAAAGGACCACTGATATGACTGAGGAACTGGAGCATCGTTCCTACGAGGAAAGGCTGAGAGAGTTGAGACTGCTCAGCTTGGGGAAGGAAGGGATCAGGGGGATCTCATCAATGTATATAAACACCTGAGGGGAAGGTGCAGAGATGGTGAAGCCAGGTCTCACTGGAGGTAGATATCCCTCCCAGCACCACTTGATGCCTGCTCCCCAGAGAGGCAGACATGATGTGCACTCCTGCACTCACCATTTCCCACTGGCTGTCTCTGGGCTCCTCCTGGGCAAGGTGTGGGGTTTTTCTATAAGCCTCCCCATGCACTCAGCATGGAGCTCTGCATTTAGGCTCCAAAAACATGGGCACTGCAGTGCTGCAGCTCTGCTTGGAATGGTCTTTACAAGCACTGGATATTGCCTGATTCTGGATATCACATCAGATCCGTGCACCATTTTTCTAACTTTGCCCTTGAGTTACCCACTGAGCTCCTCTAATAATCAAAATGCCAATGACTATGGGAGGAATGCGTTTAAATCTGACAGGACTTAAAGCAGCTCACATGACAGTGCCCTTCTACAACTAAATGAATCTCTCTACAGGATTACCAGCAAATCCCCCTTCTCCTCCAGTCTATCAGCATTGTACAGGCACATCTGCACCCACAATGCTCTCATAAAGGTATCACTGTGTTTTTTGTAAGTATGAAAGATTTGTGATGAAATAGACATGCTAGGCTGAGGATGTATTTTCTGGAGAGCATCTGGGACTGCGCACTGAGATGATGTGTTTGGTCAGATGTCCAATTCTTTGTATAGTTATGGCTGACTAGAGGATTTTTCTACCACTTGTACATAGGAAAAAAAAAAATGGGGGGAAGGGGCCGTTCCTAGATCAGAGTTATCTTTCCTAGGGTTATAGGCACAGGAACAGCTGGATAAGCTAAGAAATTGCTTGCTAAAGAAGGGAGCATCTCTTGCTCACTGGCACTGACCTGCAGATCAGAAGTCTCAGCAACCAGAATCCCTCCCTTACAACAAGGTGGGGCAGAGGTTCCCAACAATATTTCTTGGAGAATCCCCCACTTGTCTGCAATCTGAGATATGTAGAGAGATACACACATGTACACGCCTGTCTGTGTGCTTGTGTGCATGCACACTGTTCCTGAAATGCCTGAAGATGCCTCACATCTCTGCCTGAGACACCAGATTTAAAGTCCAGGTAGAACCCAGCCTCTCATTGCCGTACTGTTTGGCTAACCATCTTGTGTCTTGTAACCCTCATGAACTGTTATACATCTGCACTTCTGCATTCAGGATTTTACCATCACAACCACCAAAAGCTTTTAATAATGCTAATTTATCCTTTAACATCCTGATTTATCTATTGTACAGCTGGGATAGCTGCAGCATAGACATACCAAGCAATCCACCCTGGGTCATACAGTGAGTCGGTGGGAAAGCCAGCAATAGAATCCGTAAGTCCTGCATCCAAGTTCTCTAAGTGCCTTGACTAGTCCAGATTCCCTCCTTAACACCCTTGTCAGATTGTTTATAGGAGATGTATTCATATAGTCAGTAAGATAGCAAAAATTTCTAATTATATCTAGTCATGTCAAATGACAATTATGCCCTTAGTTCAGTTTGCCAGACAATGCTTTACCAAAGAAGGTTTGCCAAAATTTTTTGACCGAAGAAAGAGTAGGCATCTGTAGCATCTGCAGACTAGATCATATAAAACATCCCTGCGACAAGTCTGCCCTGTCTCCAGGGACTGCTTCAAGGTAAGTGTATGGTGTCCACAGGCTTACAGGAAGGTGATGGTGCCCTTATGCGCCTGCCACAGCATTCCTGCTGCCTCCAGTGCTCATTTCCAGGACAGCATGCATTTTCACAGCTGAAGTTTTAAATTTGCTTTCAAGCCACCTGCCTATTTTCACTCTGGATTTCTGTGCAGCAGCAAGTAAGGATTTGCCTTTTCTGTTTTACAGTACTGACCAGCTGCCAGCCTGCAAGCCACCCATCTGGTATTGAGAGAGGTAAGAGCTTGATCTATTAATTCTTAGAAGGCAGAGATAGATCCTTTGGGTGGGATTTCTGGAAGGGTCACTGCTTCACCCTATATTCAAACCCAGTGTGATGAGAGTAGAAGGTGGTGAGGTGGCCAAGGTTTTAAAGTGGACGCGTTTGAAGTTTCTGACCACTGATGACACAGCAGAAAATCCCTATGGGGAAATTCTTCACTTGTTCTTAACTGAGATCAAGGTATGCTGGCTTCCCATCTTTGTTATAGCAGCAATAGAACTGGACCAAGCTGAGCA